GGGCCCCCCCCCGGCGGTACCCGGGGCCCCTGGAGTTCTCGCATGCAAGCTGCCACACGTGCAGGGCCCGCGTGGCCGACCCCGCGGCCTACGGCGGCTACCAGGTGGTCTACCGCACTGTTGCGCAGCAGCACTTCTTCAACTGCCCCTTTCAAATCTCGCGCATGCCCGACTCGGACTGTTCGCAGGAGGCGCTGCTGCGCAGAACCACGCAGAGCGCCCACGTGGGTTCTGCTGCAGTGCAGCCGGGGGACATTGTGCTGCTGGGGTCGGATGGGCTTTTCGACAACTTGTTTGACGACGATTTGCTCGACACTTTCAACCAGCTCTGCTGGGGCAACGCGCAGCCCGGAAGGGCCCCCGCCTGCCACCCCGCCGTCCTCGTCGACGCGCTCCTCGAGGTCCGCCCGCCAAACCCTAAACCCTAAACCCTGAATCCGCGTTTCGCACGCGGGTAGACGCCCGCGGGCAGGGGCGGGGAGGCAGACACGTAGCGACGCCGCGTTTGGCGCTCAGGGGCAAATCCTGACTGTTTCGCTGCTGCTGCTGCTGCTGCTGCTGCTGCTGTTGCTGCTGCTGCTGCTGCTGCGCAGAGGGCGGTGAAGGCGGGAGAGGCCCCCCCTGGGGTTTCTTGTCCAGTGGTCACTCCCTTTTCTAAAGCAGCTTTTGACGAAGTGGGCCGCAGACTTGTGGGGGGCAAACCTGATGACATTACAGCAGTTGTTGCTTATATTGTCCCCACAGTTGAGGGATCTCCAACAGACAATGCTGCGGTGCTCGGCCGGGGCAGCAGCACAGTTGCTGCTCTCCCCGGGGGGCCCCCCTCGGGGGACCCCCAGGGGCCCCCGGGGTCGCCGGGGTCCCCGGGGCCCCCGGGGTCGCCGGCGCCCAGGGCGCCCCCGGAGGACCCGGGGACGCCGGGGACTCCGGGGGCCCCGGGGGGGGCCCCCCGGAGGCAGGGGACCCTCAGTAGGGAGTGCAGCGGCTACGGGGCCCTAGACGAACAAACTCCCAGCCAGAGCCCCCTCCCAGGGGCCCCGTTGCAGCAGCGGACACAGACTGTGGGGAGGGGGCCCCCCGCAATCAGCAGCAGAGCCAGCTTCCCCCCCAGGGCCCTTGGGGGCCCCTCTCCAGCCATTCGGGCTGCTGTGCATTCGCTGCCGCAGTCTCTTAAGCCTGGGGACTTCTCCGTTTTTGAACGTTTGAGAGAAAGGGCCCACCATAGGCTGCAGCGAGCAGCAGCAGCAAGAGCAGCAGCAGCAAGACCAGCGCAGCGCGAAAGGGAGGCCCCCGGACGCAGCTGGGGCTCTTGGCCTTCAGCGCTCGCCTCCGCCTTCCGGGGCCTCTTTGCTGCCAAGTGAACCCAAGGGGCCCCCTAGGGCCCCCTAGGGGCCCCTATGGGCCCCCCGGGGATATTCGCTGGCGGCGGGGCTTCAGGGGGCCCTCTTTGTGGGCAAGGGGGCCCCATGAAAGGGGAGGAGGGGGGCCCCCCCAATGCGATAATTCTGTTTTGGCCCGGTGGCAGCAGCGGAGGCCCCCCAGCAGCAGCAGCAGCAGCAGCAGCAGCAGCGGGCAGCTGCGGCGCCCAGGCTGCTGCTGCTGGCGCTGGGGCCGCAGCTTCTGCTCCTATTCGGTGGCAGCTGCCGGTGCTGCAGTTGTTCTGCTGCTGCAGCTGCTGCTGCAGCTGCTGCTGCAGGCAGAAGGCTGGCAGCAGCTGGAGGGCTAATAACACTGGACACAGCTTTTGTCTCTGTGCTCTGTGGGGTGTCTGCATTTTAAAATTAATTAAAATTAAATTCAAGAGTCTTCTTCTTTGGAGACGAAATAAAATGGAGTAGAGCTAGGCGAGCAGCAGCAGCAACCTGAGGCCCTTCAGAAGTAACTTTTAAAGACTTTTAACATTTTAGAGTCCCAAACAAAATAATAGAAATATTTAAAAAATAAATAAACTAAAAAATAAGCCAAGACACTTCGGCTGCATGCAGCACTGGGCGAAGGGAAACCTCAAATAGCACCGGTGGATGGGGGTGTGTATATATAAACATATTTATTTGTACATGTTTAGAGTTATATTTATTTATATTTATTTATATTTATGTATTTTAATATATATATGTATATGTAGGGCTTTTTAGGCAGCAAGGGTGGGGGCTTTAGGCGTGAACCCGAGGCTGGCTAGCCAGACTTGGAGAGAAAGACAAGAGGCCCTATTGCAAACAGAGGAGTGGCAAGAATGGCAAATGGACCATTGGTCCTTTGCCAGTGTTTAGAGGAGACCACTGGAGAGAAGAGAGAGCCAGCGCCCCAGGGGTTTTTTGCTGCTTGAGAAATCAACAGCCACCTCTGCAGCAGCTCAGCTGCTGCATGCAGGCCCTTCGGGGCCCAGGAGAGCTGCTGCAGATGAACCAATGGTCCACTGGCCTTCGAAGGAACTCTCTTGGCTTTTTTTGCCCCTTTGAATGTTCAGAAAGACTTCGCACTGCAGCCCGGTCTCGAGGCCGGGCCCTGAGGTGTCTGTACACCCCAAACAAGAAGGGCTTCACCGTTCGAATGTTCTTTTTTATATCTTTTCTTCTTTAGCGGCTGCAGCCGCAGGCTGCGGCACCTAACTGGAAGTTTTGGGTGTTTCGCTGCCAGAGGGGGCTTTTTCCCGCCTCCAGGGTCACTACAAACTAATAGAAGCCCTGAGGCTGCTGCCTGAGGCTCTGGACTCTAAAAGTGGCCAAATATACATTTTTTGGGACAAAGAAGTCCCTAGGACTCAAGTTTTGGGGCCAAAGGCCTGCTGGGCCAGGGAAGACACCCTGGGGTGGAGCCTTCTGCAGCGAGCGGGGGCCCCTGAGGGCAGCTCCGGGGGCCCCCCTCCCCCGTCCCTTTAAATGGTATTATTTTGGAGAAATAAAACAGTTCCAAGGGGCGGTGAAAGCGCAGAAAGTTGAAAGGCGTCCCGGGCGCGGCCTGCCGCCCGGAGCGGCGGCGGCGGGGGGGCG